TTCTGTCTCTTTGCTCCAGGGCTCCAGAGATCCTCAACAGATCAGGTCACAACAGAGCAGTGGACTGGTGGAGCCTCGGGGCTCTGATGCACGACATGTTGACTGGATCGGTAAGCTGGAGGCCGCAGGGGGAGGACATTGATTAGTGGAGGGTTGGGGGACTTATGTCTCATTTCTTTAGTCTGAATTTAAACAGAGTTCCAGTGGGTCATTAAAATGAATTTGAAAAAGCAAGTTTAAGACGCCAGAAAGTTTTTGAAATCAATTATAAAAATAAAAAAACCCTCGTCCTTGTCTTAAGATATTTTAGAAAGTCCATGAATTTTTTTTTATTTTTATTATTTGTGTATTGTTCATGCATGTAACTTTTTCACATGCATATTACATTTATTTCTTTTTAATAAGGTTTGAAAAGGGTACAATCCTGAAATAAAATTTTGACGAATGTTTTAATGAAAACGAAAAAAATAGTTTTTTGAAGAACTTTATCAAGATTATAAAATTTTTCATATCTTACTTGTTTACATTTCTTGATACAATTTCCATTACTTAAAATGATCTTTTTTAGATTAATTTTTGTTTTTTTAAACTATGTTTCACAGATGACATTCTCTTCCTTTCAAGCCCAATCAAATTAATTATCCGAACCAATAAAAATGTTGTCTCTAACGTTCGCACAGACCAACAGAAATGCTTCTGTGCTCCTCAGATCAGATTTTAATTTTCAAAATGTGTCTTTTGGTTTCGGCAATAATAGAAAAAAATGTACTCCATAGAGAGGAGCTTTTCTCCGCTCAGATTTCTCCTAATAAAGTGTTTAAAATGCGACCAGGTTAAAAAGCACATTGCTCTGTTACATCTTTTAATTTAATTTTAATCAGTTTTACTGAGTTGACCTCTTAAAGTGAGGGGGCCATTATCAGTGTACATCTTTAGATGTTTTTATTAAAGTCCAATAAAAACGACTAATCTTTCTTTTTAAAATATACAACTCACCACTAGATGGCCTCGGTGAGCAATTGAAGTTACCACACATTTACTAGCGATTCGTTCAGTTTTTTTTTTTTTATTGAAATTATTTATTGAGAAAATATTCAGTGTTCTCAATCTTTCCCTCTTCTGTGTTTATAACCTGTATCTTTTTACCTGTGACGTTTTCTGTTGCATAGCAACGGTTGTTAACCATTTGTTTGCCGTCTTCTCACCCCAGCCTCCTTTCACGGCTGAAAACAGGAAGAAGACGATCGATAAGATCCTGAAGTGTAAAGTGAATCTTCCTCCATATCTGACGGTCGATGCCAGAGACCTGATCAAGAAGGTCTGTAACTAAAAAACACGCTGGAAGTTTTCTGCACTAGAAACACGCAGGGATGCTTGGTTTCCCACTAGATCGATGCTTCAGGGAGGAAGTGCAGTAACTGTGTGCATATTTCTTTGTGAATTAGAACATTTTTTAGATAAAACTAGAAGGCAGGATAGAAATATAAAAATATAAAATACAAGAACTGAAATAATGAATCTGGACTTTTCTGGCATGTTAACTTTTCACCAACATGTGGGGATTGAAAACGGCAACATTTACAGATTTCTCCTGGCTTGGCTGGAGAGTTTGCCTCAGTTTGTAGGAGAGCATTAGCATCAAATGAAAGAGAAGTTCATTTCTACAAAAAATTATAAAATATCTGTGCATTAGATTAAAATAAAAACATTAGCAAAAATAAACTCAGAAATGTCAATGATTAAAGGAAACAAATGCCCAAATTTTAACCAAGATATATTCTGACTTTGAGAATCAATTCAGAAAACAGATTTTTCCTTTTAACTCAGCCCTACTTTACAAAGATTGGTTCGTACAAGCAGGATTTATTTTATTTAACTAATTTCCCACAGTCCTTCCAGCTTCCACTACTTTATTCATTTGCCGTTACACTAATAATCATGAATCTATTCTAAATCTTGAGAATCTGAACGGAATTGATTCCTGAAATTTGAATTGATTTCCAGCCCCTTTTATAAAGTCAGAAATTTACTTGAGAAAAGTTCATGGAATGTAAGAGGAAAAATTACTGAATTTTAAAGAAATGTGAGTTTTTAATTTGAATTTAAATTTGAATTCAATTTAGTTTATTTCTATAGCTCCAATTCACAACATATGTCATCTCAAGGCACTTTATAGAGACAGTTCAACCAGATCCTACAGTCAGATTGATTCAAAGTTTTCTATCTAAGGAAAACAGGTTGATTGCATCGACTCTTTGACTCGAAGGCAATCCTTCACACTGAGCATGCCCGTTCAGTTTCTTACAAAACTTCCTACAAAACATGCAGGAAGTATTGTCTAAGGTTGAAGTGATGCGTTTAGATGGTTCCTGGTTGCATCCGCCGCTCAATGCAGAAACAGGCGGATCCTAAACAGGCCATGTCCTACTGAGGCAGACACGGGAACAAATCCTGCATGTAAACACACTTTAGGAAATGCTATAAAAGCAACTTAGATTTAAACCATATCCGGCATTTTGTGTTGGGAAATATTAGATTTAACACACAGTAAACCTCTGTGTTTTTTTCCTCTGCAGATTTCTGATTTTACAATATCAGAGTATATTTATTAATGGAAATTCCTATAATATTTTAAAATACATTTTTTGGCAGAAATTACACTTTTAAACTTTAGAGATTTTTTTTTTTTTTAGTAAAAGTAAAATTAATCTGTTTTCTTGGGACTGAAATGTACTTTTATTTTCCTTTCATCTACATATACTCTGCTGTACAGACAGGAACTTGTAAACAGTTTAAAACGCCTCATTCAGTCCTCACTTTTATTATTATTATTACTATTATTATTATGGCTGCAGAGCTTCATTCACTTTATCTTTCCAAATGTCTAAAGGTCTCTGTGGTTCCAGGAACGTTCTTATTTACACAAAGCAGCATGGAAATAAACTCAGAGCTTGTAAACGTAAAGAAGCAGCAGCAATGAGCTTGAAGTTAACATGAATTAAAACAAAATGCAAAGATCAGAAATGCAAAGCTGTACTTGGAACTTTAGGTGATGACAAGTTTTGATTGTGATGCGAGGATCAGGAGAGGATTTATTACCTGGGAGGCTTAACTTTATTTAACTTTTATTATTAAAATATGATACTGGATAAAAAAGGGATGATTTCATTTGTTTGTTTAAAAAAAACAAACAGTTTGAGGTTTTTGTGTTTGTTGTTGGTTTGTTGTGCTATGTTGATAAAAGGCTTCTAGAGAATTACCCATTAGGACTAAAATGACATTTAAAAAAAATTATAATAGATTTAATTAATGGAAACCTATAAAACTCTGATCAGACACGTCCTGGGTGGGATTGGTTCAGCAGAACATTACAGATAAAATCTACTTGAGTCCACCAGTTAGTCATAAAGTTCCTCTCCTCAGTTTACAGACAGGATCTTTCACTTAATTGTATTTTTTAATGACCTGCTGCCATCAGTTCTTAAATGAAGTTAAGAAGTCTCACTGTCAGAAGTTTCTGTGAAACAGAACAACTCTGCCCCCTGCTGGCAGAAACTGATGCTACAGTAGAGACTTGAAAAAACAGAAAACGCAGGATTAAATGGAAATCAGTGGTAAAGTAAATGTTGAAAAAAAAACAACAACAAAACAAAAACACACCGCTGTGGAGATGATTAAATGTCTGCATGTTTGTATCTTTCAGCTGCTGAAGAAGAATCCGTCTCAGAGAATCGGTTCTGGTAAAGGTGACGCCGCTGATATCCAGGTGAATCCCAATTACTGCAAACCAGCTGTGATCAATATAGAACCATGAAAACATCCAATTAATGATTAAATAACAACCTGTGCAGAAGAAATGCTGAGATAAAACCTAATAAACCTGAATAATATGTTTACTTTGACGTAAAAACTGTTTAATTTCTGGATTTTAGAATTTTTTTGTTTTTTCAAATTACAAAAACTTGTCTTTGCAACAATAATTGAACAGAATTCACCCCATAAGTTCCATCAGAGACCTGTCTGTGTGAAGCAGTCAGTGAAACTGCTGAACGCTGCTCAGTGTCTCTGGTGTTGGTGAAAAGAAACAGCTTCCTGGATGGGATTTTTTTTTTTTTTTTTTTTTGCATAACAGCAAGTTTTTTTTTTCTCTCTGTGGTGAAAAACGGCAAACAAAGCAAAAAATGTGATTTTTGTTTTTTGCTTTTAAATAATGTTTAAAGGTTTGATAGAAGTGCTGCAGTTTGTTGACTTTCTCTTTTCTGCAGAAACATCCGTTCTTCAGGCACATCAGCTGGGAGGAGTTGCTGAATAAGAGAGTGGAGCCGCCATATAAACCCCAGCTGGTGAGGCTTCTTCTTCTGCAGCCATTATGTTTGCACGCTACTCCCACGTTATAAACTGCTGCCAGTTCTGTCCAGTTTCCAAACATCTTGCTCCTATTTTCTCTCATGTTTTCTCACTTTTTAAAACTGTAATTGGTTCTTAATGGCTTCCTTGTGTGTCTCTCCGCTGTGTGGCGTTGTCGTTGCCCTCCTGGCAGCATTCAGAGGAGGACGTGAGCCAGTTTGACACCAGGTTCACCAGGCAGACGCCGGTGGACAGTCCAGACGACACCAGGCTGAGTCACAGCGCAGAGCTGGCCTTCGCTGTGAGCGGCTCTGCCTTCATCATGTTCTCATCATTAGCATGCGTCTACACCTTCTCATCTCTTTGTTCTCCTGCAGGGTTTCTCCTTCGTGGCCCCGTCGGTCCTGGAGAGCCTCAAAGAGGGGTTCTCATTTGAACCTCGGTCGCGTCACATGCGCCGCCACAACAGCAGCCCACGGACGCCCATCAGGTAACAGAAGGATCCCCAATAGCACTGAGGCGCCAATAAAGTCAAAGACAAACTGAGCAGCTTCTATAGGAAGGTCGTCCATAATCAGTCCTCCATGATGGATCCTGTGGAGTTATGAAGCTGAGACAGAGGCATTTCTTGCAAGAAATAAGATTCAAATTTATTTAACGTCCTCAGACGGAGAGATAGGGCTCTATGCCTGATGCAAGCTCAGTACATATATTTATACCTTACAAAATCAATCAAACACACACTGAACATTTAACTTTCTCACACTTGAACATTGAAGCAAAACAACTTGAGTTCATCAGGGCCATTCGCTGTTAGGTTAATATATCTTTCACTGGTCAGATGGATCGTCTCAAAACCACAGTCCTCCCCTTCATGCCATAAAGGAGGCTTTGTGACTCATTCTTATCTCTCAGGACCTTCGTTTGGAGCCTGTGAGGCTAAGAACAGACATACCTCAACATGTTTTACTCCACAATCCCTTTATTAGTACCTGATGTTTTAGCACATCGAGCTTCAGTTTCCCATCCTCTGTTGTGTCGTTTCATTAAACTTTATTCCTGCTGCATACTGACAGCACAGTCCTGTTTGGTTACAGTCTGATCGAAACTGGTTTAGTTTTTATTCAAATTAAAACTATTAAAAAGTGACTGAAAGCTGAATTTAAAGCTAGAGAAGTTTGGTTAAAGAAAAGGTAGAAATCTGGAAGTGTTGAGTCTTCCTGCTAGAGATGGACCCATAAGCCACTGTTTTTGTGTTAGTATCAGTAACCCCTCCATGTGTTCAACCATGCGCCGAGATCACATGAAGCTCCTGCATTGCTTCATTTGTTGATCAATGTTTTGGTTTTGTTTAAATTTAGAACTTTTTTTTTTTTATCATTGTATCATTTTTAATCATGTAGATGGAGGATGAAAAAGCAATACTGGCTCCAATAACTGCTAAAAATATCAGCAGCACATTTTGGGATCCGTTAGATTGATCTAAACAATCAGTTTTACATCAGCCCTAAAAACACCATCAATCTCTGGATATCTGGTTTCATTGTCTCATTTTTCATGGTTTCATTCATTAAGGGACAAAATAAAGCATTGAAATGATCTCTAATAACCTGCAGGAAGTCAAAGTCAGACTTCATAAACTGTTTCAGTTCAAATAAACACCAAAGTTTGAATCAAATTGAAGCTTCCAGGTCGACCATGTAGTTAAGGGCTTACCGAGAAATAAAATATAACGATGCAACAGACTGGAGACCCTAAAAAAGTATGTATAACCACTTCACTCTATATTATGTAAATATCAATACGTTTTATTTAGAGATTTAGATTTTTAAGCTATTTAAATGTATAGTTCATTTTAAATTAACAGTGGGACTTCATTAAAAAACAGGAGTGTGATTAACAGCAATGGATCGAATTTTAATCACCAACCTTTTGATTTAAAAACACCTTTGCCCCTAATTTATTAAATAAGTGATAAATGAGGACAGCAAAACAGAAATTTATTGTTTGAATATCAGGATTATTAAAGTAAATTAAATTACCAGGTTGGTTGGAAGTTATAATCATTCAGCTTTTTTAAAACGCTGCTCATATTTTATGCCACTTTAAAAAAATGACTAGAGGTAATTAACGATACATTAACATTCATTAAAGCACAACTCCTGCTGTTAAATGTGATAAAAGCTCTATAGAAACAAGGCATACAGTGCTGCCTTGAAGAGTTTGACTTTTTCTGTAGACAGAAGGTAAAGTTTAGTTTCTAAAACAGAACTATAAAGCAATCACTTTTGCGAGCTTTTGCTAATCCATACGCAACATCTAGTGCATTTAAAGCCTATAAACCACTAAGGCTACACCAGTTTTTTAAAATGCATTTAAATCTATACAATTATTTAATCAATATCAATGTGTTAAAGTCCCAACCCCCTTTGTAAAATATATTTTAAGTCATTTAATAATTTAATGGTGTATTTTATAATTTACTTGCATATTTAAGTATTTATAATATATTTAACATTTGAATCTTGTTTTAATGTAAAAAAAAAAAAGCTCTACTTATTTCATGGTACATTTATTTGTTTCATGATGTATTTTGGCTCTTTATAAACCTCATCTGGAACTGCTGGTTTAGCTGATAAAATTATTTAGCTCTGTAGATTCCAGTCATATGCCAACTTCAGCAAAGGCTCACTAAAGCCCCTTTCCCACTGAAAATAGCGGGCTAACGCGTGTTTTTCAATCATGGGTCTACCCGCTAACAATCGGCATATGGCTTCCTTCCCATTGGCATAAAAAGCTGGTCTAACTCCTCGCTGGCATTTTTTCTGTTCTGCTTTACCATTGCAGTGTCCATATAATCTGTAAAACTCCCTGCATAATTATAATAAAGCTATTTATATGCATAAATCAAGCGGAACACTACGTTCTGCTCCACTTATGAAAGCAAAATCTGATGGGCTCTTTTTGGCATCAAGACAATTATTCTTATTGCCACATTGTTGCCAGACAGGACACTGTTTTAAAAAGAAAAAGCCAATTGTTCCCGGGTTTAAACAGTTTTTTTTGGCCATTGGTAACTAGACAGATTATAATTCAAATATTTAGATTCAAATAGAACTAAACAATCTGAGTTTTAAGCTCATTTAAAGGGTTTTATAAGAATGTTTGATCAAATTGTTTGATGTTGATCAAGCTATTGTCTCACTGACACAAATTTCTTTATTAGAAGCTATAATTAGCAGATTTTAACGCACTTCTTTCCATCCTTCCTGCTATCGGCAAACATTATTATATAGTAGAAGAAGAGATAACGGCATTAGATGTGATCGAAGGGAGACCCCTACATGGTCATAATTAATGCATTCAGCGTTACTGTAACCATTGGTTAGGGGGCCGGCTTTAGGAGTTTCCTTAAAGCATGTTACTGCCTTACTGTTAGCTGCTGAAATCTCTGCTCTCTAAGTTGATGTTGCCTGAATTAAATGAAGAAAAAAAAAGACCTTCTGTTTTTTTTTTTTTAAAGTTTTACATCTTAATGCATCTGATTTTATAAAATAATTCTCTGAACTATAAACCATTAAAACCAGTAAACACATTAGTAGTTCAATCTGGGGCGTTTTGATACATGGTCCTTTATTCTTCTTCTCTCAGTCCTCTGAAGTTTTCTCCTGCCGGACCCTTTAAGTCCAGCCTGGACGGGGAGCCGGACCTCTTCTCCCCCACGTCTCCACCTGCTGCTCCGCCTCGCGTCCCGCTGGAAAACGGAGCAGCCAGTCAGCCGATCAAGACGCCTTCAAGGAACAAGAAGAAGAAAGACCATCGGAGATGAAGCAGCAATCTCCCCAAGGTTCATTTCTGCTCCTACAAACGGTTTCTGCCCAGCGAGCGCCCAGGCAGGAGGAGTTAGGAAAGTGGATCAACAGAGATGCGTCTGAAAGCGGGAATAATCAGAGGAATTCTGCCTCTCCTGGGAAATTATCCGCAGATCGGCTCCCAATAAGTCCAGTTAACAAGGAAACAAAACGTCTGGACGTATTTAATTAAAAAAGGGAAGAGAGCTATTGATTTTCCTTTAGCAGCTTCCCTGTGAATTTATGATGGGTGGAGGGGGGGGTGATGGATTGACTGGAAGCTCTGGTGTTTAATTACAGCGAAAGGAAGTAGTGATTTAAGGAGTCCACCAGAGGTGGAACATCTGGGCAGATGTTTAATTAAAGAAAATATGAAAACGACCTTTAGCCTCCAGGAGCTCTAACAGGATTTCTGCTTCTTTTTCCTTCTTCCTGTTTGGTGTTTCATTTATTTCTGCATGCGTGTAACGTGATGGGGAACCCTCTTCTGGTTGACGACTCATCGTCCAACACACCTTTTTTTTGTTTTTTGTTCTTTTGTTGCCTCCAAAGGAGAACAATCAACCAATCAGAGCAGGCTCCGCCTTAATGAGACAGGAAGTAAAAGAATCCTCGTCTTCGACTTTGAAATTCTGAGTTTATTGAATGTGACATGGACTTTTTAGGACTGTGTGAATGTATATAGAAACCTACTGATTGGGTAATCATTGAATGTTAGGTTTTATGTTCTTTTCTTGTCTTCTGCCAAAGTTATTCACAGGATTTATCACCTGATCGGATCAGAAGGGACTCACCCCATCATGTCCTCCTGATCTGCTCTAGACACGGTGCTCTCTGAAATAGAACTGTTTGGTTTTTTAAACAAACTGTTTATGCAAAAACAGTGATGATCGGAGGAATGTGATCGTGTTCTTCCTCAATCAGGAATCACTCAGGAAGGACTCAGAAACTAATCTGTTGTTCTGCTTCATCATACAGGCATCCAGAGCCGTATAAGGAACAGGTTATACATGCAGATGCATAGATGTTATTGATAATAATCATGTTTATACAGATGTTTGTGTCACTGTGTTGCTGATCACATCCCTATCCGATCCTCTGGATCCTTCTCTGCTGCTGTCTGTAAATGGAATAAATAGTAGAGCATAGTTTAAATCGGATGTTTACATACTAATAGTTCAATATTTATTTTCTGCTATCGGATTAAATCAGAGTATTTTTTTCCTCTTTAACCAAAAACAATTTATGTTAAGTAAACCGCAGAAAATTGTTGTTTAAATTCAGATCTTTACTGACTTCCTCAGAATTTTTGCAGAACTGCCAGCTAATCTTTCTAAACTGGGTCTGATGTTTTGGGGTTTCCTTCATCCAGCATTTTCATCCATTCCTCACAGAACTGGTGTAACTGGCTCCGATCTGCCATTACCAAACCTTTTCATCTCTATTTGTTGATTTCCTCCTGTACCTCCTGACGTTCTGCTCTTTGTTCACCTGCTGTGTTCAAGCTTGAACTTTCTGACTTCTCGAGGTTTTGCTTCTGTGTTTACAGAAACCGTTTAATCAGGATGCCATGTTTTTCGGGCCTCGCACCAGTCCCTCCTCCTGTAAGACACTCGTATAACCACAACGCAGCCCCCCTGTGGGTTACAGCGGAGATCCTGTTCTCAGGGTTGGAAGCTTTCCTCCTTTTTCTGCCAAATGTGGCGATGGTAATTCTGACCAAACTACCAGACATGTTTTTCGCCTTTACAGTGATGGCTTCTTCCTTCCTGCGTGGCCTTTCAGTCCATGGTGGTACAGAACTCCTTTCAGCTGTAGATTAATCTTTAAGTTGCATGTTTTCCAACAAAACCTAGTCAGAGAGCTGCTCCTGCTGGTTTTACAGTTTGAATCTGGATGTTAGACACAATGATGGACCAGCCTGGTGGAGGTCTACAATTCTCCTTTATTATCTTGTCTGATTTATATAGATCTATCTTTGACGTCACGCAAGGAAGCAGTTTGTTCAAAGTTCAGCTTTAAAATACATCCTCATGTGTGGGGCTGTTTTATTTGACCAATCAGAGGCCTGCAAGGCAAATGGTTTACAGGAAAATTCATTTCGGTGTTTGTAACTCTGAAGAAAAAATATTTTTTTTTAATCAAAAGTTTTGTTAATTGAGAAAACAATATTTTTACTTGAATTTTCTGATGGGAAAAAAAATCTTTCATCTGTAACTTTTGATTTGTAGAAAAAGATTGACGTAATTTGATTTCAACATATATGAATTTAGTCATTTTTTTAAAATAAGAAAGATGCTTTAAGTTATTGTTTGAGAGTTAAAATTAAAGAAACAAGGTGAAATTAAAACGTATATATTTCTCACTTGTGCTTAGAGTCTAAAATGTTCTTCCTCATAAAAGAATCTAAAACTTTTCACCAGCTGATCAAAATAAAGAAAAGCTCCTCTGATTCTGTTCAGATTCTAAAGCTGCTAGTTTTTTTTATTATTTTTATTCCCTTTATGTTCAGATGAAACCCATTTATTGCATATTTTCTGACGTTTCACAACCGTGGTTGAGTTTTAATTCAGGGAGCAGCCTTTTGTTCAGCGTCGAGGTAAACTGGTTGTTCATGTTGAAGTCATTTTCTTCTCCTCTGAGAACCCTTCATTCCTCAACAATTGGTCTGAGTTTATTGATGAAAATCTGTAAAATAAACCATGAAATTGTGAAACTTCCTCATTTTTTTTTTACTCATATGGATTTTTCTTTCCTTGGGGATCTCTTAATAACCTCATAGTGGTGAAAGGCCAGTCGGTTCTGTTCAGAAACCCAATCTCCCCCGGATGGTTCTCACTCTGGTGCCAAATTTAAATAAGTCCAGTTATTCTACTTTAATGTTTTTATTTGAGGCTGAAACTAGATCTCCAGTATATATATAAAAAAACAAAACAAACAAAAACAAAAAAACTGCTGGATTCAAAGAAGAGATATGTTTACTCTTTTATATTGAAATATTTTCAGTCTCCTGACCTGAGCTTCCATTAGAATTCAGATTTTCTTTTATATATTAAAGGTTCTTTTCCAAATCCTCTCTTGTTTCCATATCAGACCCATCCTTCCTTTATTACTGTCATCAGTCTGCAGTATTTGGAAGCTCAATCCTCCTGATAACCATTGTTCCTACTTAAAAAAACCGGTACCTGTAAGTACTCAACTTACAGAAACCATCTTCATATATCTTTGAAAAAACAATTGCTTTGTGTTTTATTTTCAGTATTTATTAACATAATAATGAAATGTTATAGTATCTCTATGATGTAAAAGAAACATTTCACCTCTGGAATTGTATAAATCTGTAAAGACTAATGAAAAAAAGAGTTTGTATTCAGGGATGTTTCCCATTTCTTCTAACTGAGGAATGTTCTAAATAAAAAGAATTTACTGTTATGACGTGTTGATCTCTCATTGGCTGCAGGTTTATACTAATCATAATCAAGTACAAGGCGACAGGAAGCAAAGAGGTGCTAACGCATCCAGATGTTTGGGCAGCAGCAGGTTTTTCTATTTGAAGGTTTTCACCCGACGGCCTGCATTGGTTTTAAATACTATTCTGGGGGGGAAAAAAAGTAATAAAAAAAATAAAATCACTGTTACTGTGAGAAAATAACCGGCTAAGATCAAAATTGGAAAATTAACAGACTTTATCTCTCAGGCTGTAACACAAGGACAGAGCAGCTCTGTCATTAATAATAATTGATTATTAATATTTAATATTTATTTTAATATTTATTTATTCATTAATTTCATTGAATACAAAAAAACAGCCTATCAAATTTTTGATATACTAAAAAATAAAAATACACCTCCATCCATACATACCTACATATCCATCTGTATACATTACATACATATATACACACAGACATACTACATATGTATTTCAAAATTTTTAAATAAAATGAAATGAAAGGCAGCAGAAAGAAGAAAAAAATCTTATATCTGCCCCTTTTTTTCTCATCTCTGAAACTAAACAGGGAAAAAAATGGTTATCTTCTGCAACAAAAACAAAGTCAGTCGTCAATCTCAACTAAACAACGATAGTATGAGCTCACTTTATACTATTTCATACTTCTTCAAGAATCCAGTCTTTAACATTCTCTTAAACATGTGCAGTGATTTGGCATTTTTAACATCATTTTGTAGTTTGTTCCACAGTTTCACTCCTTGTATCGAGGTACATCGTTCTTTCAAACTGGTTCTGAATTTGGGTTTCTTAAAAATCTGTGTCCCCTTAAGGTTATAACTGCTCTCTCTCTTTGCAAAGATTTTTTGGATGTTTGAGGGTAATGTATTTAGGTGTGCCTTATTCATAACTAACAAAATATTATAATCAACTAAATCATAGAATTTTAATAACCTCAATTTACAAAACAATATATTGGATGGGTATTTGCCATGTTTTCAAGTAATAACTCTTATAGCCCTTTTTTGCAAAACAAAAACAAATTTTGTACTAGTATAACATGCCTTTCCCCATACCTCAACACACTTTGACCCCTGAGCAGCGGTAACCAAGGTAAATTGAAGAAATAAAACCCTGCTGCCCCTTTTGCCCAGAAACAGAGCCATGGATGGAGAATGGTAGAAAAAAACCTGGATCGTTTCGTTTACGGTCTGTAGAAACGGTTCACTTGGTCAATGTCAGTGAAATTCCAATATTCACCTGACCAAAAGAGAAACAACAGGCACCGTGCTTGTTAGGATCACAGCTGCTTTTACTTGTTTTAATGAGTTCAACAGATAGAGCTCAGTGTGTCCACTATCTCCCTGATGGAGCCAAGGTTAAACTACATGTACCAAGAATAAAACCCTTTTATTCACTCTGACTCAAGGCTTCTGACCACATGCTCAAAAGCAAACATCCTCTTCATTTGGGACACACACAGATTTCCAGCCCTCAGTGCTGCATCAGGAGGATTGCTGGTCTTCTGTTTTATCTAAATAGCTGATAACCTCATGTTGAATATTAAAGACCTTTGTGAATTAGCTTTCATAGGATCACTGGTCTTGGAATGATTACAAATATAAAGTATCTTAACATTTATCCATTATTATATGAGGCCTATATAAAGCACAAAGGGGTATTCCACATGATTCATGCATTTTTGAGGAATTCTCAGCA